AGACGTCCCACGACGTGGTTACACATAACCCTGATGTGGTCCCACCTAGATCAGGCGTGGTTACGCCAGACAATACTATATGGCATGTTTGGACTCCATTTTGCATGCTTGACACTTATAACATGCACAATATCAAGAAAAACCTTTCTCAGGTGTAAATCTATGATAAATAAGTGAAAATAATATGTAAAATTTAAGGAAAAATACAGGTGAAATCATGTAAAATTGAAGCATGTTAGTTTATAAAAATAAATTAAATTTATATAATTTTAATTCTTACACGTATTTCGTCACGCAATTTTTTAATTTAAATATCTCAACTCAAAAAGTCATGTAAGATGCATAAAAAGTGTGCAAGTCCCCTAAAATTTGTCCGAACAAATGAATTCAAGTCAACTACATGTGCTTCAGTGACTCTTACTGTTCAAACTGATATCTGAAAATGTTGCACTAGCTAAAATAAAATTGATCCTAATTGAACTATCCTAGGAAGCATGCAAAACTTTTGAAATATCTATTACTAATTTTAAATACAAACTCTTCTTTTCAAAATCAAAATCAAAGCGACCAAATTATGCACGTTCTCAGCCATATTATCTTATTTATATGGCAGTCATAAGTCCTACTTAGTGTGATCTTCTAACTTATAAGAATTGAAGTTGATGAGATTGGGTCCCACTTAGCTAGTGTAATCTTTCTCATTACAAGAGCTAGAGTTGACAAGTCTAATGCTAGGGAATGATGCGTAAATTCACATCTTCAATCTAATGCAACAAGCTCATCATCAAGACTAAGAATTAAATGCTTTTTCTTTAATTTCAAGAAGTTTATCTTTGTAACCATTCAAATATGACTTTCAAAGCATTTGGAAAAGAAAATATTATAAAAATGAAATAAGAAGAAGAAACTTCAGCTTCATTTTCAACTTATGAAATGCAATAATGAGTTCAACCTACATGCCTTAATCTTTATGCAGAGTCTACATGGCTTGCAATGCAAACCATGTATGAATGAACTTAAAGACTATGAACCTAATCCTATAAAAAGTCGGGTCAATAAGGTCAATAAGGTTCAAACTAATCGATCAAATACTCAAATGATTATCATATAGAAAATGAATCTCAATTGGAGGGGCCTATTTTCAAAAATTAGTGCTCCTACATTACACATATAAACACTTCAAGTATGTTACCCACATTATCACAACATTAATATAGATTCTTAATATAAAAGGTTATTATTTTTTAAATGTTTTTAATTTTAATATAAATCATTAAAATCTCAAATCAAGGTAAAAAATAAATAAAGGATAAAGAAAAATAAAAAATAAAAAATTCTCAAATAAAATTCTACCACAAAAAAATCAGAGCAATACTCAATGATTGATCAAGCATAATAAATTTTAGATTAACAAAGGCTCACAAAGATTCGTTATCATATCAAGCATATCATTATTTTCACTCTCGAAATGAAAATAAGGACGTGACTCTAATCCTTTGTATGTGCTTTGGCTACAAATAGCTCCACAAAAGTATTAATTACAATAAGAGCCCTCTGACCAATTGATTTGCCTTAATATGAAATCATTTTATTATGACGTGACTGCAATGTATATGCTCTCTAGTGGCTCTGCCCTTTGAGTGATAAATCATAGGGTAGTTTGATAGAGTACAAAACTCTTTGACAACTTATGACTGAATTAAAAATACCCCTCTAAACAAACATTCTCCTAAGCTTACAAGACCTTCCTAGACAACCCAACTCATAGTTACTGATAAAATCTTTCGATCATATTGGGTTACGTACCTCTATTAACAAAGTAGACTAGATGCCCAGGCATCTTTTAAAGATGAAATTGATTTATCAAGAATAAGTTCAATGTTATTCCTCCTACAATCTACTTTAAAAGAATATTGATAGTTTTTTTTTTAAAATCAAATTGTTACTACAATATGAAAAGCAATTAGTGCATTAATAACTTGCTTTAGTTAAAAAAAATCTTTCTTTTCAGTGGGAAGAAATATTAAATAAAAGGTCTTGTGCTTATGAAAAATCTCGAATCAGACTTTTAAATCATTGCACAATACATGTGAAATTTCCAAGTGGCGGCTCATAAAAACACTCATGTGAAAGACCAAGATGCCAACTTTCAGTGCTCATTGATTTCTAGCAAATCCTCAATACAAAAGTTCTTTTTACATGTTTGGCTAATCATATATGTATATATTATAATTATTTAGAAATCTGAGCAAATTTTATGAGGTGAGCATTGAGATGTAATACTTGAGTCTCAAATCTAAACATCCATTGCATAAAGGTTCCAATAAAAAAAAAAGTTTGGAGCCCAAGGCCTAATAAAAGTTGTATTGAAAAGTAGAATGATGTGATATCTGTTGTTTACCTCTAAATATTAACATGACATATAACTCATAATAAGATAATGATTTTTTACACACTTCACCTTACGGGGGTAAAAAAAAAAAAACTTCTATCCTCTAAATGTCACACACACACATATTATATATCACTATACATAAAATTCAAACAGAGATTCCCACTCATCCCCCTATATACAGAAGAAAACAGGACCAAAATAGTTCCCCATCACGATACAAACTGACACTTTATCAGCAGAGGTTGTAGATACAATTAGACTTGTATTCAACAGCAAAACTGTACCTAAAGAATTAGCCATTATCCGCTCTTGAACGATAAAGATTTGAAGAAAACAGCAGACAATTTGAGAAGAATATAAGCATTACTTGCTAATCCACCTCTTCTTCATCAACTTCAGAGTTCATTATAAAGCTGGGAAATGCTGTTGTTATATCCCTGAACAAATTAGCAAATTCATGTGAAAATTTCAAGCTACAGCAAATTTTTGCTGGGTGATAAAATCACTCATTCTCTATTGAAATTAAAAAATGTCTTAATTAAACTTTCGTATGCAGATTTATATGTTATGAAATTAGCATAACTTAAAATTGTTTGCATTAAACCCTTAGCATACTGCATTGAAGGAGTGCCATGCATTGGATTATTCCATTTAAAGTATTTTTGTATGGTTTTTTTAATAATCATATGTTGAGCAGGAATTCTTTGACCCAACAAGGTTAAAGATGGATACTCTTCCAGATGTTTTGTGGTTGCATGAACTTTTTTTTCAATGAAATAATGCATAAAGAAAAATAATACCAATATAAAGAAATCAATACAATGACAAAATGTCAATTTGTGGAGATAAATAAATCTATGTAATTCCTAGCGACTTCTTACCCCCCACACTCTATCTAGTATCTCCCAAGTTTGTTGCCAACCACCCTTAGGCTAACCCTTACAATTATATTACCTACCACCGTTTACATAATATTTATAAGTTTGTTACCTGCCACCTCAAAGAATTATATACATAAGAAAAACGTTTGCATGGTATTGAAAGTGCATCACTCTTTTTTACTTAATTCAACCAAGTATAGTGATGAAGTTTGTAAAATTCACCAGCAGAGTGATCAGATGCTTTAGTTATCTTGTTCCGTGTCATAAAGAAAATTTTCTCCGTTAAGTGATCAGCAAAGATCATTGAATTTACAAATATGACAATTTCAAATTGTTGTTCTTAATAAGATGAAATCAATGGTTGTCATAAGGGTTGGTGATTGGTGAAGTGGCCCAACATAGGAGACAAGACTTTCCTTTACCATCAATGAGCATAAAAGGTAAAAGAATTGTGCTCAAATTTAAAGAGAGTATAAGGAAAGGGGGAGAAAAAAGTGAGAAAAATATTTGAGGATAAAAGTTTTTATCATATTAATTTCTCTACATTGGTGAAAATTTATTTCATTAGCTAGCTGTGGATGTAGGTGGATCACAATGACTCACAGAAACTCTCAGGGTCTTTATTTTTTATGATCTCCTAGCAGCTTTTTTTCCTATTCTTCTGATTTTGATTGCTATCAAGTATGAACTTGTCTTGCCAATTGACATCAGAACTAAGCATTTGAGAGTTCTATGAGAAAAGTGGGCAAAGATGGGAAGGCGACGATAGAGCAATTTGATGATAAGGATTTTGGGTACTTAAAATGTAGATAAAGGTATACATGTACGAAAAATGTTTTATATTTATATATATAAAGAAATGACCGAAGACTATTAAATGAGCCCCGACAATCCTTAGGTGTGCTATTTATTCGAGTATCACACCCTACACACGGGGGGAATCGAACCCCTGACCTGAGGGGACTTACGACCTTCAGAGAGGCTGCTCTACCAACAAGCCATGGTACGCTCGCGCGTGTGCGCACACACACACAGATATATATATATGGTATGTAGCTTCTC